TGTAGTGGAAAAGCCTACCTGTTTTATTTCCCTTTCTGCCTAGTTTTTCCCTTTCTTCCTTCAAATTCAGCAAACATTAAAACTCAACACTTTATGGTATAATATTGGATTATTGTGGACATTTATATACTGAAAAGTATCAGGAAGAAAATAAACAATTAGTTTTTTTGTATTTTCTTCTAGTCTTATTTTTTTGTACGTGTATTTTTTCACATCAGAATCAGATGATACTCTGTGAGTTTTTTACTTTTTTTTTTTAACTCAGCGTGGAGGAGAATCTTAAACATTGGGGGATATTATGTGTTAGTAACTGTGCAAAAGTACGTTTACTGGGTAGAGGTACCTTTCTATTTGTATGGAATGCCTTCCCTTCCTTTTGTCTGTCCTGTGAATTTTCACTTAGTCTTTAAGTTTGAGATTAGACATGAACCCTTTAGGCTGAAGGAGGTACTGTATTTCTTTGCTTCTCTTAGCTCTTTGTACTACCTCTAGGTACTTATACTTTGATTTGTTTTATTTATTTAATTTATTTATTTGTTAATTAGTTATTTACTTATTTATTTTTATTTATTTATTTGTTTGTTTTATTTATTTGTTTGTTTTATTTACTAGTTTGTTTCCTCTACTAGGACTGTGGGTTCCCTTAGGGCAGCAGTTTGTCTTCCCATTTCATCTCTATATGTTAAATGTCTGGATGAATGAATGCAAGAGTGAATGATTCTGTTTTTGTTTTACAAAACGTATGAGGTAGTAATCATTACTCCCTGTTTTCAGATGCAGAAGCTTAGGCTCTCAGACTGAGTAACTTTGCAGGTCACAGAAGTAGGAACTAAGGATGGTAGAGAAATTAAAATCTAAGTCCTTTCTACTGTGTCACACTGCCAGAAGGAGTAACAGCTAGTAAATTTTAGAACCTGAATAATCCAGGCTTCCAGACTTCAAAGTACCATGCATATCTTTATATTATACTTATACTGATGTATTTAAAACCTTGCTGTATTTTTCAAAATCTATTTTGTTTTCCATAAATATAAAAAAGAATCACGTGTATTAATTTTTTATATGTGCTTCTCCCCCTACCTTGCCCACACCAAAAAAATTGAAATCTCAGATAAAATGTTATGATTTCACTACTTGTATGGGCCCAGTTTGATTCTTCATTTGCCTGTGTAGTCATGATCTTAGAAAACAAAACACAGAAACAATTATCTCTTTTATTTGTTTTTTGGAGTTACTTATCCTGTAATTTCTAAAAGCCAAGGTAAAAATGTCATTATTGCTATCTGAAACTTAGTATTTCAAATGTAGTGCTTGGTATGGGCCTGGCACCCTGAAGTTAGGTACCTTTTGCATTTTTTTCAGTTCTCAGCTGGATTCCTTTTAACTAATTTATGATGAGTAGGATCATTTCTGTGAACACTCTGGTCTTCTCACTTGTCATAATTCTGAAGTTTAGTAATTCAGTTGTTAAGTTTGCTGTTTAGGTCAGCCAGTCTTCCCATCAAGAAGGTTTATAATCTAGGCTTCATTTAATTTCTTTCAGTTTATTTGAATTTATGGTTTATTTTTTTGCAGTCTTTGTGTTAGTTATCTTCATAAATTTTCAGTTGCCTTAATAAGACAGTAAGTAATAGGAAGAGCTGTGGACAGGGAAACCCAGATTTCTGTACATTCATTGTGACCACTGGACTTGACCTCTCTGGATGTTTTTCCTATTGTTAGATGTGAAGTTAGGCTAATTGTGTATAAGGATCCTTCTAAATCAAACATTCTATAATTTAACTCCTTGGAGCTGTTTTACAGAATAATATAGAAGTTTGTATTATACTCTTGAACTTTGTTTTTGGAGAATGCTTTTCTTCTGCACATATCAAAGTGCTTGTTGTGTTACTTGGCCATTATATTCCAGAGAGAAAGATCACTGAAACTAGAAGATTTGAGCTTTAATTGAAAAGAGTGGCTTATAATATTTTGTTATGAATTTCATAGAATATTTTAATATATACTTTTAATATTACATTTTATTATATATTATATTCATACATAATTCTAATGTAGAATTTTTTTAAAGATTTAAAAAAGTAATTACTGAGGGTATATAGAAGTTCTTATGCCAAAAAAGATTGTCTTTAAAAAATTTCAACTTTATTCAAACAAATGGATTGAAATAAATGTTGACTACCACTTACAAGTCCTGAAATTTGATTTAGAAAAATACTATTATTGCAAGAACTGAGCTGATATTGTCTGGAAGCCTGTTGATATTGTTTAAAGGAGACTCTAGCATATTCAACTCAAATGTATTGTTATTGCTACTGTGTTGATAGAATATGCTTATCTACTACTGCTTTGTAATCAAATTTTTATTGATTTTAGAGGAACGGACTTGTTGAATGGAACCATTTAGAAATTAAGGAATTTCCAATTGTATAGGGTGGAATTCAAATGTGTAAAATTTCTTTAATGGCTTATAATAAAAATCTCAAGGGGGAGAATTTGGGTGTAGATAAGCCTTGTTTTGGTTGCTTAATTAATGATTCTATATTTTATAAAATATATTACTGAGGAATTGATACAAAGATTTGTGTAATTCACTGAAAATCCAACATCATTGTTTGTACAAAATGAAGTGGCCAGGAGAGTTAAGTTGTCTGTTTAGGATATAGTTCTGACAGATTTTCTGTAAGGAGGTGATTTTAAAAATTCATATTAGAGAATTATTTTCTGGATTATATATGACTAAATATATTGCAATTTCTAGGCAGGTGAATAACTCTTGAGATGGTAACAGGATGAAAAAAAAGAAAATTGATCAGAAAGAAAATGCCAGTTAAGGAGGGAACTTGTAATGAGCACTGGGTGTGATACAGACTGATGAATCACTAAATTCTACCCTGAATCTAATAATATACCGTATGTTAAATAACTTAAATTTAAATTAAAGAAATAAACCAACTCTCCCCCCAAACCCAAACAAACAAACAAAAAAGAAAATGCCAGTAAAGACATGAACTGCTATCCTATGTAAAGACTTCATATAGTGTTTACTTGAAAAAATAATGACTGATAACGGAAGTGGAGTATATCCGAGACTGTTGGTGGGAAAAAAGGCATAAGCTGTTATAGATGTTCATATACAGTATTTTAAAGCTTTTTTCTTTAAGATACGTATTTTTTGGGGTACTAAGTGTACTTGCCTGTGGGCATATTTAAGAAATGTTTTAATGTGGAGGGAATGAATTACAAACTAAGATTTTAAGATATCATTGTCTATAGATAGTAATTAGATTAAATTGAATCATCAGCTGCTTTGACTTTAATGTTACCTGTATGTTTTTCTAAGAGGTGGTTCTATAGAGTTATTTGCTTGGAAAACAAACTAGAGATGGGAGAAATAACAGAAAGAATTTGCTTGATCCTTTGTCCCAATCTAGAAGCCAAACCATGTTGACGAAAATATAAATTAATCAGGTTTGGTTGCCATTCATTCTGAGCATCATGACAGTTCCCAAAAGCCATTTATTTTGGTAGATTAAAAATAATTTTTGCTGGGATTTAAAAAAGATAACTGGCAGGAAATAATTTTTTAAAAATCACAATAGAATCCCTTATTCACAGAATTCTGAATACGTGTTGGATTATAGTTCTTTAACGTATGTTTTTTAAGAAAACAAAAAAGGTACCTTGATAGGAGAATCTAAGATTTTTTCTCTATGAATTCATGTGATATTTCTTATAGATGGACTTTACTTTTTTTTTTAATTTAATTTTTTCAGTGTTCCAAGATTCATTGTTTATGTACCACACCCCGTGCTCCATGCAATATGTGCCCTCCTTAATACCCACCACCAGGTCCTTCCAATCCCTTACCCCCTCCCCTCCAAAACCCTCAGTTTGTTTACTTTGGGTTTTTAATGTTCATTGATTCATTGAACAAATACCTACCAAGAATACACATAATTTATTTTCTCATGGTGATCATTAGGGATGATTTTCAAAATTATTCTTTTATGTTGTGTTGTTCTTGACCTGGTGGTAATATATTGATGTGGGGTCCTATGTGACGGTATAAATAAATAAATATTTATTTATTTATTTACATTTTATTATATATTAATATAACATATTTAATATATTTACTAAATTTTTATTTATATTTATTTTTCATTCTTTCTCTCTCCCTTTATGTCAAGATGAGAATGTAATTTTTTTAATATAAGGATTTTTAATATCTAGTTTTCTGTTTGCTCCTTTAATAATTAGTTATTTATGAAACACATCTGGGACTTGACCATTAACTTAGATAAAAAATGAATAGTTTTGTTAATTTTCTCATCCCTATGTACATAAGTTTACCATCTTCAGAAATTTTCTTGTGTGTTTAAAAAATGAGTTAATGTTGTGATGAATTATGAGTACATAGCGTAGTTATTTGGATCATAGTATTTATAAAAATATTAATTGGATACTGTTTTGGAAACCAGTTAACTTTTTAAAGGAAAACCAGTTCAACTCTTTAAGCAGATTTGTCCTGTTAATCCTAAAGGGATTTAGGTGAGAGTTTGATGCAAGTAATACCTTTTGTTTGTATTCTTATCATTTATATAGAATCTAGATTCTCTGATTTTTGATCACTTCATCACTACTGAATAAATCAAGTACTAGTAGAGTTTACCCGTTGTCTTTGTACTTTAATTTTAGGCATGCGCACTTTTGCTGTTTTGCAACACTTATTTCATAAGATTAACAGCTAAGCAAATGATTTAATCAAGGCACGTAAAAGTAAGTTTGAGTGCCATGTCATTTAAATGTTATCATTTAGATGTGCTTAATTTTTGTAGCTGTTTCTTTAGTTTGGCTAAAGTATTAAATATTTAAAATGTTATTTTCTGATCCTATATATAAAAATTGTGCTTTGTTCCATGATGGAATAGTTTGGTAATGGAGTAAATTATGTGTTTAATCCATATCCGTTTTTCTGTTTTATTTATGCTTTTTAGGTGGCAGCCAATGCACACATTCCTCCAGACTACCTCCTTAAAATTTGTGAGCGGATTGGTCCCTTACTAGATAAGGAGATCCCTCAGAGTGTTCCTGGGGTACAGACATTACTGGGTGTTGGTCGGCAGTCTCTGTTACGGGATGCCAAAGGTAAGATTTTCATAGCTTTCAGAGGAAGGAGTGGAGAACAGCATATTTTTATGTTAAGTAAATGTTCCCATGCTTTCCTAAATATAATTTTCTTCTAGTTTTTCTTATTTTGCCAATCTTATTTTCTTAGTGTACAAATAAATTTTTAGAGGCCTAAAAGAAGCCCTCTGCTATAAAACAATGAATACAATAGAAGTATAGAATGTAAAATCTTTTTGTAATCCTGTGGAATAGGGATCTTAAAAGATCATTGCTCTGATTAGTATAGTATGAATGCTTAAAAGTCTTTTATTATGTTTTAATATTTTTAGATTTTAGTATTATGAGTCTTTATATCATCCTAATCATGGTGAACGTTTTGTAACAAGAAAATGAAAAATAATATGTAAAAATTTATATGTGATACATAAAAATTTTTATAATTGAAAATATTAAAAACATATATCAACCTATTAGTGACCGTTCAGTAATAGTTTTTGTACTCCACTGTTTTCAGTCTTTTAAGGATTTTTCATGGAACCCCAATATGTAAAACATATATAATAGTATTTTATGAATATAAAAATGTGAAATTAGGCCTGTTAGTGTAATATATACTTCAGGTCTAGCAACTAATTTGTTTTGTTTTATTAGCATCATGTTTTTTAAAAATTCTAGTTCACAAAGGTAGAATAGCTTCAAAAATACCAGTTTTAAACATCTAGTTTTATAATATAAGAAAAGTCTTCAAATCATTTAATTTGGAAGTTTTCAAGAGAGCAGTAGAGGGGTGCCTGGGTGGCTCAGTTGGTTAAGTGTCCAACTCTTAATTTCAGCTCAGGTCATGATCTTGGGTTTGTGAGACCAAGCCCTGTGTCGGGCGCTATGCTTGGCATAGAGCCTCCTTGGGATTCTCTCTCTCCCTTTCCCTCTGCTCTTCCCCCCCCCTCAAAAGAGAGTAGTGCAATATTCTTGTATCATAGTTGAATTATTAGGAATATTTCACATTTACTTGAGTTTCTTGACATAAACATGAAAGACAAAAAACTATTTATAGTCATTTATCATCTAATATGCAATATTGTTACCTATTACGGCACAATTGGCAGGCATTCTATAGTATGACTATGCACCAAGTATACATGTTTCTGAATTTTACCTGGCATACTTGTGCTGTAGTCCTAACCTTGCTTATATAGTTTTATGTAAGTAGAAATATATAAGCCTAAAGGTCATGAAGGACCAATATAAAATTAAAACCTTATTAATCCATGACATATTTATATGATTCAAATACAAGCTGAATAAAAGCTTTAATTCTAGATCAGCACAGAAATAAAATATCTGGGTGTTATATTAAAGTGTTGTTATTTAACAATCATAATGTAGTTTATAACATGTTCAAAAATATGCATGTTATTTGTTATTGTGGTATTAGTAGTTAAAAATGTATTACAACAAACAAAATTGAAAACAGACATTTACCTCTAAGGTACAATTTAAAAAAACCACTGTTCTATTTCTTGACTAACTTTTCAATCTTTTTGAATAGACTGTAAGAGTACACTATGGAATGGTTCCGCTTTTGCAGCTCTGCATAGAGGCAGACCTCCAGAACTACCTGCAAATTATGTGAAACCTCCAAATGTGGGTGAGTAACATCCATGTGAACTATGAACATATTCTTGATTTTTTTCTTCCTGAACTTATTATACAGCCAAAAATAGGTACCAGAATTAAATTTGAAGTATGAACGAGCTGCTTACATTCTTGAGGGGCTTCATGGTTGGTCCAACTTTTTAAAAACATTTTTATTTAATGTGATTATGGTTTTGTGATCTTGTGTTATTTTCTTTCTTTCTGCCTTATTTTCTTTCTTTCCATCTTTCTTTCTTTCTGCCTTATTTTCTTTCTTTCCATCTTTCTTTCTTTCTGGAGGGTATGTGCTATGGTGAGTGCTGTGAAGTGTGTAAACCTGGTGAGTCACAGACCTGTACCCCTGGGGATAAAAATATATTATATGTTTATAAAAAATAAAATTTAAAAAGAAATTACTTGACAGTGATAAAAAGCAAATGGACATCTAAATAATTAAAAACAGTCTACTAACCACAAAGACACATAAAAACAAAAAAAAACCCACAAAATCCAGTTTGCTAGACTTCCTTTCCTTATATTTAGAGGCATATTTTTACCTAGTGGTAATCAATGTTAATTAATATCCATTTTAAACTCTGTATTTTCTTAACACTTTCACATGCAATTATCTTTTTTGAATAGACATTGTCATTTAAATGGTAAAAGATTCAGTTACTTTTAGGTTGGCTATGATTTTGAACTAAACATTCAGTTGAACATTTAGGTTACTTCAGTTTTTCATTAATATCTTTGCATAATTAAGTAGTCTTTCTTTTTCCTTTTTTTTTTTTTTTGGATTTATTTTCCTGAGCTGTATTTCTCTTTTTTTGTTGTTGGTTTTTTTTGTTTGTTTGTTTTGTTTTTAAAGATCTTATTTATTTATTTGACAGACAGAGATCACAAGTAGGCAGAGAGGCAGAGAGAGAGAGGGAAGCAGGCTCCCCGCCCAGCAAAGAGCCCGATGTTGGGGGGGTTCGGGGGGGGGTTCGATCCCAGAACTTTGGGATCATGACCTGAGCCGAAGGCAGAGGCTTTAACCCACAGAGCCACCCAGGTGCCCCTCCTGAGCTGTATTTCTAAAGCATAGTTATCAGGTCAAAGGGTCTCATCGGTTTTATAACTTTTCTTATATATTACTGCTTATATGTGTATTTATGTATATATATAAATTGTTCTCCAGAAGATAGTACTAATTTATGATGTTACCATCTAGGTATTTAGAGTGAGTTTTTAAATACTTTTTCAATCTTTTGGTGGCTTTAATAGGTGAAATAGCCCCTGGTTGATTTAATTAGCTCTTTTTTTCATGATTAGTGAAGCTTAAATTTTAACCAGTTATTTTTTTAATTGTTGTTAATCGATTTGTATATCCCTACATATACCTGATTTTCACATTTATCTTTTAAATTTATTGTTTTTTATATTTCCTTACACATTTTTATTTTTATATACACAAAATTCCATCTATTGTTTGAACATTGTCTATAGTTTAGATAGTGCATCTTTTTTTGTTTTTCATTTAATTTTCATATTGTACAGAGGTTTTTATCTTTCTGGGATCCAGTGTTTCTAGGAATATTATACTTTGGTAATATGGTCCTATTTTAAGTCAAATATCTGTTCTCTACTTACAGGTTTCTTTTTAAGGGAAAATGGGCTAGGGCTAAGTGAGAGTTTGAACCGAAGGAAAAGAAGTATAGTGGCTGAAAACAGGATGTGCTGTGTTAGATTGATTGCTAGATAGATACAACAGTTGTATAGTTGCTTTAAATTATTTCACATATGACCTTTGATTTTGTGTGGCTTTATTGTGGGAGAGATGGTTTTTTTTTTTTCTTAGTGTATGTATTTTTTAAAATGCTGTTAGACAATGGATTTATACAGTGTGATCTTTGATTTAGCTACATGTTTCAGGTTGAAGTTTGGGGCAAGCATTAGTAAAACCTTATGTGTACTTACAGTATTTATAAGTAGTATAATCCTGTATGTTAAATTATATAACAATACTTCAAATTGAAGGTATACTAGGGTATAAAAAAGAATGCAGATGTATGATGAAGAGGTGAAAGATTATAAACAAGGATATCAAAAATGGGTATCAGTATTTTGATATCCTTGTTTATAATCCTATACCTCTTCATGTATGCTACATATAAAAAACAAAACTCCTCTGCCTTTCTGTCTGTGTGTGTACTTTCACTTAAATTGTATATGTTGCTTAACTTGGTTTATCCAGAAAAATAGTAAGATAATAAGTTGGATTTCTTCAGCACTTCATTACTGTTACTATTATGCATTCTAGAAATCCCTGTTTTTTCTTACTGAAATCAGATTTAGTGTTTTACTTATAATTTGGAACAAAAGGCAGCAGGTATTTTGTTAAAGCTACTAGCCAGCAAGTATTGACATATTCAGATCTGAAGTGCCTTTTGAAATATGAGCCTGTAAATGAAATGTTTGTCAGTTTATGTTAAACTGTAAGATTTTTGAATATGGCATTCAAAATAAAATGTGCTAAATCAACTTTCAGAATTTTAAGTAATGATACAGGGAGAAATTTGAAGTCATGGTGAGTGTTTTTGAAGTTTGATCTGGAAATTTTTCATTTCTCCTTGACTCTTATTTACAACATAATAGAATTAGTTTTGCTTCTTACAATTCATCTTATGGTAGATAATTTAAATAATTACAGATGTCTGTTCATTTATGGTGACCCTGTTGAATTGTTGGCTGTTTTATTGCTTCCTCCTTGGAGCTTTATTGGGAACTACAAACATAGTAATGAGGAGTATGTGTGTATGTATGTGTTTAAATGAAGTTTTTGTTAACATAAATTTTACATATTGAAATTGTGACTTGGAAACTTCTTTTTTTAAAGGCATGTTTTAATGTTTTTTAATCATTTTAAGGGGACTTGTATCATAAGACTGAACCAAAGTCATAATTACCTTTAGGTATGTTATATATTTTCACATTTATTCAGCATTTTTCGTGTATAGAATTGAAAGCCCTAATTAGTGCTTTCATTTAGGGTGACATAGATTGTATTTCCTTCATTTTATATTCAAAAGACTTGAGGCAGTTCTTATGCTATTGAAAAGTTTATCAAGATTATATGTTCACTACTATCTTTAAAAAATGTATACATCTATGATGATATATGTCATTATAAGAACTTGCATCTGCATGTAATATATGCAAGTCTAAAAGTGCTTTCACATTATCTCATTTGATGCCCACCAAGTACTTTAAAATACTGTATTTGAATTCCAGATATACCTGTATTTTTTTCCTTACCTTACCTAGCTCTTGTTCTCTAATTACTAGTAATAGTTTAAATTGTCTATTAGAACAGTAGAATGAATGTAGAAAACTCAACAGTTGTTGAGTGCTGGCAGCATAGTTTTTGTATCTCTAAGTGTGGAAGTAATTTAAGTGTGTGTGATTTATTAACTGCTGTGTGACTACACAGCCATAGTTAGGAAGAACAGAATGCATCATGGGAAACCAAAAGTTATGTGCTGCTCAGCCCCAGTGTGGATATAATGCTAGCTGATAGGTCTTATGGTAGAGAGCAATCAATGTCTGGAAACTAGTATTCCTCACTTTTGATTTGTTTGAGCCACATGTACAGTTTTGCTTTCTATAATATTTTGGTTTTAGTTATTTGTCTGGATTGATAATTGTCTTTTTTTTCACACTTTGGCTCTAAGAACATACATTCAATGATTAAAATCCTTTTGGAGATTTATCATTAGTTCCAGGAAACTGGTATCTATCTCAGTACAAATGAGATGGCATTAAGAAAGTGAAGAGAGCTTCTATTTGGGAGTAAGAATTTGGGTTGGGTGAATGTTCCTTATAAAATTTTGTTCTGAAAGCACATTTGTCAATTTGAATATTAGTTTATTTTTGTTCTTGGTTTACTGATGTTGATTACTGATTGATTGATTGATAAACAGGTTTTTGTTTATTTTGTTTTATGTTTTGGTAAAGAGCAAAAAAGTAATTTCAAGTCAATTTAGTGTTTGGGTCAAATTTCAGAGATGCTCTTGTTGGACATTTTTCATAAAGGATTTTGTGAGTAGTAGAAAAGACCATAACATTTAGTTGGGAAGATAGTCTTGTTGAGTGACCCTGGGCAAGTTACTTAACATCTCAGGGATTCAGTTTTCTCATTTATAAAATAAACTCCCCTATCCATTTTACAAGGTTGTTGTGTGAAACAAATAAGTTAAATAGAAAGAACACCTTTTGTTAATTGAAAATGCTGTACAAATGATTGTTTACTGCATTTTAAAAATAGGACATAGAGGTTGAATGGAAAATGGATATCTAAAGAACTATGACCCCAGAATTTATATGTTCATAGCTAGCTATATCACAACCTTATTTTCTTAATATTTTTATAAAGTGAGGAATATATAAAACAGTACCACTGATGGGAAAAAGTATTTAAAAAAGTGTTAGAATTGAACCGGTTTGAGTGCTTTGAAGTGTATCTGTATTAATTCAAGCAAGAAATGATTGTTATGTCAAAAGATATTTAGTGTTATTTGCATTTTTATTAATTAGAGAAAAGTAACTTAGTATGATACCGGTGTAGTATTCTCTGTTTTTTTAAGAAGTGGGAGATAGGTCTTTCTGATATCTTGTTGCAGGGATCCTCAACACTTCTGATTGATCTTTTCTAATCCTGAACTTATTTTCTGTACATTATTTATAAGTAATTTCTTATATTTTAAATTACCTTGTTGAAGATGTTTTCTCATGCTCTTTAATATCTACCGTAGTACTTTATAATAATCTGGCCCTCAGTTATTTTTTTGTGTAATTTTCTTAACTTTTGTTAGGAGCATTTCATGATATATATTTCTTAGGCCTATTTAATATGCTAGTGGGAACTAAGTTCATTTATTGGACCTTTCTCTACCGAGAAACTTCCAGAATGTGGGTGGGTCCCTTGTCCTTGTCTTGATACTGTCTGCCCTCAAGGTTATAGTATTTTTGGTG